GCGCGCCCAATCGAGGGGCAGAGGCGGGGTCGGGTCGTGGGCCCCACTTGCGTAGTGGGCGACGCTGGCGGTCTGGTTCCCCGGTCTCACCCGACCACAGGGTCAGGTAAGACTCAGCGTTAGAAGGAGTGGCACGGGTGCCCAGCTGGCTGGACGGGGAGGGGCACTGGCAGTCATTCCCTACCCTCACCATCTCAGTGGGCACCCCGCATCGCGGAGGAGCCCCACGTCCTGGGTACTGCGCTGACAGACCCTCGTTGTACCCCTTGAACTCTTCAAAGGTTCATATGCCAGACTTGTCAGACGTCTGGTCCTGCGTTACTCTCCAGAAAACGCGGTCCAACAGTCTCAGGGGCCAACACTGGGTTTGGTGCCCCCTAAGGCCTGGAGCCAGGTCAGAGGCTCCACTCACTTCCCCGTCTGTCTTCCGCGACCACAGGGGAGCGGGGCGGGGGACTAATGTGGGGTCACTCAGGTGAGACTCGGGAGGAGCGTTAGTTCATCATGCCTCCTCAGTCCCTGGACGTCTAGTCACCCTGAGCCAGGACAGAGATATTCACCACCTGCGCTTCCTACCCACTGCTTGGACCTGTTAGGTCCACCTCGGGAGTTCTGTGACAGGCACGGGTGTTTCCATCCCCTTGGAAGTTGAGGAGCCTGGGGCTCAGAGACACTGATATAACTACTTGACTTGAGTTTGGAGTCCCCACTCCCAGATCCCCCTGAACAGGCAACAGCTCCAGTGAGGAACTCAACAAACCTCCAACACTCCAGGTCCGGAAAGGGAGCCAGATGGGGTGCCACCCAGGCTCCTCCGCCCCCTGTGACAGCCCTGGGGCTCAAGCCTCAAGGTTGCTGCTCAACCCACCTGAGAGTCTGGCGGCAGGGGGCAGGGGGGGTGGCTGTGGAGAGGACCTCTTCCTTTCTCCTTCCCTGGCTGCATGTAGGTGCTCTTGTGTCCTGTTGCTTGCCTTTAGCCCCGAGAGGAAAGGGATGGGGGCTGGAGGAAGCAGTGTTGCAGATCAAGGTAGTGTCCAGGAACAGCTCAGCATGTCCCTCTGTCCCTCCCACGGGTGAGGCCTCCTGGGAGGCCTGAGGCAGTGAGGTGTGGAAACACCCTAGGGCCTAAGAAATTGGAAACTCCCCGTAGATCTGACCACAGAGGGCAGGGAGGGCTAAAAGGACTTCTTACTCCTGTAAGCCTTCCTCCCAGCCCACCCTACTGAGGCTACAGAATACTCTCACCTTCCTTAATAGGCCCCCCTTTGTTTTACCGACTGGTGTAGAATGGGAAGGAGACATGCCCAAGGGCACCCAGCAGCCAGTAGCTAAGCATGAGAAAGGCTTTGGAGAGATCTGGACCTTAGGCTATAAGGAAACCCCGAGGAAGAATTTCCTACTGAGATTAGGGCTGTCCAGGGAGACTGGGAGGCAATAAGAGCTAGTTTGGAGACATGGATGGGCACCATTTCCTCCCTGAAGCTCACTGATGATTCAGTGACTCCACTACCACTAAGTGATGGGCATCGTGACCTGCTGTCTGTCTTGGGCACAATAGAGAACCTACAGTGCTGCCAGGAGGTGCCCGCACCGTGCAGGGCTCAGATGGAGGGTGTGTGGGTTGTGCAGGGGTTGGGGTTAGAGGTTAGGCTTCTGATCGCAAACTCCCTAGCAAGGGTAAGAGGCAAATCTCCCAGAGGATTCTAGAGGAAGGAGGAGCATCGAGACTAAAAAAGTCTAGGGCTGGGGATTTAGCTCAGCAGGTTCCAGCACCTGCCCTGTAAGCGCAATGACCCAAGTTTGATCCCCAGTACCAAAAAAAAAAAAAAAAAGACTAATAAAGTCTGAGTGTCCAGAGCCCCTGTGGGAGCCTGGTCTACAAGGGAGGCCCTGCATCCCCACCAGACACCTCAGGAGGCTGGGGAGGGGGCATCTGGGATCCAATCCCTTTGCAAATCCAGGTCCCAGAAGAATCTGACTTATGAAAAAAAGGAAGAGGCTTGGGATGCTGCGGGGAAGAGGGGCAGTGTGCAGCAGCCCCCACGGCCTCCTCTGTCCACACTGTGGCTCCTTCCTCCCCAGCTGCTGCCAACCCAGACAATGCACCCATTGTTCTGTGTCTCCCGGAGCCTGTGTGCAACTGTGTGTGTCTGTTTCTTTCTGTATGTAACTGTGTGTATGTATTGATCTGTGTCTGTCAGTGAAACTTTGTGACTGTGTGTATATGTCCGTGTGACCAGGTGGTGCGTTTGTGGTTGTACAAGTCTGCATTTCTCTGTATTCAAGGGCAGGAGATATAGCCTTGGTGACAGCGGGTGACTGAGACTTTCTGGGTGTGTCGGTGACTGTGTCTGACTGGTTGGGTGTGTGACTGTGAGTGTGTGGCTGGGTGAGAGGACACTTCTGAGTGTGGGGATGGAAGAGTGGCTACTTTCTGTGTGTTCCCACTGGAAAGCTGCGTGTACCTCAGGAGGTCACTGAGGCTGTGGTAGTCAGAACCTTGGAAATGTGGGCTTTTGCCAAGACGCAGTGACACGAAAGGGAGGGATGGAAAAGGACAGGTGACTGGGATGGGTGGGAGAAGGGACGCCGCAAGGACAAGAGTGTCTATTCTCACAGGTCCCCACCTGTTCCGGTTCTGGTGAGGCCTCAGATCCTGGCCCTGGAGAATTAATTTCCTGGTGGAATCCTGGGGCTGTAGAAGATGGGCAGGGCTGAAGGTGGGAGGAGCACAGAAAATAACACTGCTCCATAGAGAAGGGGGACATTTTGAACCTCTGAGGCCCTAGGGATCAGGTTAGATGCCGGGTGAGGTGTGGGAAGCAATACCTAGTCAGATGGATGGAGGGATCTGCCTGTGTGGAGGCTTCACCATGGGAAGACCTGAAAGTAAGGCCGGAGCCTGCTGGAGGTCATTGGGGAATGTGACTTGGCCAAGCCCTATTCCCAGTGCCAGGCTCCTCATCTGTTCCTGAGGGCATCAGCTCAAATTGGAGATCTCAGTTCTCCTTAAGGTCTGCCGTTTGCTCTGGCTCTGCAAGCTGGTCTGCTCTTCTTTGGCCTTAGTTTACTCATCAGTACAGTGAGAGGGTGGGCCCCTGATTTATAGTCATGAAACTTTCTGGAGTCCCTCTTTCAGCTCACACACAGGGACCAGTAAGTGGTGACTCAGGCAGGGTTCCTTCCTTAAGGAGTTTCCCATCTAGCAGAGGAAACAACCAGTGCTGTAAGGGGGGAAGACAGAGCTGGAAGCAGGGCTCTGTGAGGAGCCTATGGGTGTATGAGGAGAGACCTAGGGAGGAAGAGTTTAGAAAGGACAGAGTAGGAACAGTGAAGGTTTGGGAGATGAGATTCTAGGATTCAGGGACTGGCTGGGTGCAAAGACAATGGAGACGGTTACTACTGCCTGTGTTTCTTGAGTTTCTTGTGTGTCTTGAGTGACAGCTGGTGGAGGGGACTCATTGCCTGGGGTAGGGAAAAGAGCTTGGGGGAGTTGCTGAATCTTGCCTGAGTTTGAGGGGCCTGGGGAACATTCAAGAGGAATCGGGACGCAGCCTGTAGTCTGTATGCTTTAGCACAAACACACACAAACACACACACACACACATCGGATCACATTTCCTGAGCCAAAGGCCAGTGCCCAAAGTCTGACTAGTGACCTTCCAGAGACAACAGACAGAGGTTTTAAGTCAGGACTGACCCCAGGAAGTCTGGGCCTCTTGTTAGTGCTGAGAAGCTGGTAACTGCAGCCACGCAAAGCATGAGGTCACCCAGGAAGTACCTGGGCAATGGGACAACCAAATGGGTGGGGTGGGCAGCTGTAGAGAGGCAGGAAGGAGGCAGCAGCCTGGGGACAGTAAGAACCCAGTGTAGAACCATGGAGATCCCTGAGCACGGGCAAGTAGAAAAGCAGGAAGGGTTGGCAGCCAGCATAGATTGTGTGTTTGCTGTATGCCAAAGCCCTGGGCCCAGGGCTCTCCATACAACGCCTCAGGGCCTGGTGAAATGTGCGCCATCTTTGTTCCCACTCACAGAGGAGAAACCGTGTGAAGGGAGGTCAGGACTCGTAGAAAGTAGTCTTCAGGAGCTCTGAGAGCTCAGTGGCTCTTGGCTGGGTGGGAGGCATCCAGAAGGGTGCTTCAGCTGACAGGAGTAGTGGGGTGGGGGGTGTCACAAAGTGGCGACTGGGCCAGGACCACCACAGCCTGACTCCCAGAAACAAAACTGCTTCTTGTGGGCTTGGGCTTCTTCCCAGCTTGCTAGGTTCTGGCTTGGTTGTCAACAGGACCCAGGTCTGCAGACTCCCCACCAATTACAGGCCTTGAACCCAGGTCCAGACCCTGGGTCCCTTCAGGGGCCTTTTAGTGGAACCCACCATCCAGTTACCAAATTACAATGACAGGAATTCTGAAAATTCCCTTTCAGAATTTCAGACCAGCCAGAACTTCCCCTTCCTGTCCCCTTCCCTTTCCCTGGAGTCTCTGTGTGGTGGTGCAGAGGGAGTGGCTGGGGTGGCTGAGTAAACTGGGTAGGGCCCAGACACAGCCCAATTGCGCTGTCTCTCCCAGCTCAGTCCCAAAAGTAGAGGCTGGGGCTCACAGCTCACCTCTTCACCTCCCCCAGGCTTGATGAGGTCACCAGAAATCCAACCCAGTCAACCCCGTTTATCTAGGCTGCTCTGAGCCTCTCTCCCCCTTCTCCCAACTTTCAGTTTCTTTTCAGATCCTGGGTGCCTCTGAGAAAGGAATGGCCAAGCCTAGAGAAGGTGGATCGCTTATAACTTTCCATTCAAAATCCCCCCACTGAAGGGAAGTCCCTTCAAAAGGGAGAATGAACCCCCCCTCCCCCGCCCAGTCCAGTCCCTAACCCCACCCCTTCCTCTCTACCTGCTTGACCTTGCCTCTTGCCTATCCCATCCTTCTGGGTGCTTTGGACCACACTTCTGCTACCTTTCTGCTTGCTTTGTTACCCCGGACAAGTCCTTTGCCCCAGTGAGCCTCGCTCTGCCCGCTCTGTAAAACGGGCCGGGAGCCACTGTGTTGAGGTGTTTGTAGCATGGAAATCTGGCACCATCACCATGCAGGCCTCTCTGAGCCTCAGCATCCTCATCTATAAAATGGGAATGGCAAGATTACCCATTCTGTGCTGGCTTTTTGTTTGTTGGTTTTGTTTTTTTGAGGCAGGGTCTCACTATGTAGTTGAGACTGACCTGGAACTCACTATGTAGCCCAGGCTGATCTCGAACTCACAGTGATCCTCCTGTTTCAGCCTCCCAAGTGCTGGAATTACAGGTGTGTACCACCACGCCCAGCTTGTGCTGGCTATTGTGAGATAAACTGGTTCATAACCCCAAAGAAAGCCCTGAAAACTGAGCCTGGGGTGCAGAACACCATGGAGACATTTGATAATGTTCCTGGGGGCCGTTATGTGAAATTGTGGGGTTAGGGCCTGTGACAAACAGGGTGCAAAACTGTGTGCCTATTCCCTCCCCTTTCCTATCTGACCACTTGGGGTGGGGACATGTGTAGTTGACGGTGAGACACCCTGCAGCCCATCCATCACCTTTCTTTCCAGGCCAAGTGGCAGAGGGACTTATTGGCTGCTCTACGTATGTTCAGTTGTCCAGTGGAGATTTATTTGGTTTCAAGCAGTTCCTTAAATGCCATGCCTCTCCCCGCACAATGCCGAAGATTCAATACTCTGCTGTCTCTGTTTTTGTTGTTCTTGTTGTTTTAGAGAGTGTCTCGCTGAGTCCAATCTGCTGCCCTTGAACTCGCTATGTTGCCCAAGCTGGCCTTCAATCACCATGATCCTCTGTCCCAACCTCCCACAGGCTGAGACTACAGCCATGAACTGCCACGCCTGGCCATCTCCCGCAGTGAGTTGTCCCAGAGAAGCTGCTCCAAGAGTCACCTAACACTTACTTCTGTGCCTTCTCAGGTGCCCCTTTCCTTTCTTTTTTTTTGGAACCTCGGGCCTTCACATTAAGCTACCTCCCCAGCCATTTTTTATATTTTACTTATAGACAGCATCTTCCCAAGTATCACAAACTAGACTCAAACTTGAGATCGTTCTGCCTCAGCCTCCCAGTGTGTGGGGATTATGAGTGTACCACCACCCCAAACTCCAGCCCCTCCTTATATTTGCCTTTTCACCTACTGGTACAGGTGGACCTCACATCCCCAGGGGCCCATTCTCCATGCCCACATTTGTAGGGTGTACCTCAGAGAAAAGATAAAACCCTCAGCCCTATTTCCCTCTTCTCTCTTCCACCCACTGAGTGTCAACTCTATTGGCTTCTAAGCTCCTTAGGCTACGGAGCTCCCTCTGCCTGGAGGTCTTTTTCTCCTGAGATAAGGTCCCATTATAGCAGGCTGGCCTTGAACTTCCATTGATCCTCCTGCCTCAGCCTCCCAAGTGCTGGGATTACTGCAGGCACCACCACACCTGGCTTGCCTCAGGGTCTTTGAACACCATTCCTCTGCCTGGAATGCCTGCATCCTTGCTGAATTTCAACTCTTGTCTTAATAATCAGATCAAACCAGGAGCTTTCTAGGTTCCCCAGGCGAAAGGAAAGACTCTCCCCCCAGATACATGGTGCGCCTCGGGACCTGCTCAGCACTTCTCACATTGTCTCTACTCAGGTGCCCAGCCAGGAACTGGGTGCCTGATGCACCACACTGCCATTTGGGCTCATTGCTGTCTGTGTTCCCACCTCCACAACCCTCTCCCTGAGGAAGACCCTTCTGTCCCTTAGGCTGGGCCACACCATCTTCTCAAAGTCTCTGCCACTGCTCCTGTTTCTCCAGCTCCTCTCTGCTGTCTCCAGTTCACTTCTCAGTAGAAGGTGCTAATTCCTACCTTTTTTCTTTTGGTGCTAGGGATCAGACCCAGGACCTCGTTCCATTCTACTGAGCTGTGCTCCCAGCCAGTATTTGTTGACAGATAGAGTGAACAGTGAAGGAATGAAGGAGTAAAAGAAAACTAAAATCAAACACGCTTCCCTTGGCTCTGCCAGTGGCTCCCTACTCCTCTCGGGACAGTCTGTACCTCGCATTGAAGGTTTTCACTATCGGATCACCATTACTCACCCAGCCAAACTTCACTCTCCCTCTTGTGTTTCTGTCCCCCTCTGCCTGCCTGTCCACGCAGGGGAAAGCGAGGCTTGCTGTAGTAATACAGGCTGGAAAGGATGGGGCTTATTTCAGGCAGCTCTGTCTCATGGTTCCCTCAGTGGGTTGAAACATTTCAGCCTGCAAATCCCCAAACTTTTCTCCCCACTGCGCCCTCCGCCCATAACACTGGAATTTGTCTGCTCCACAGGTTACCAACCCAGTGCCCAGCAAGATTTAACTCAAGGGACCTCCCCACTCCGTGTCCCAACCCACCTGAGCACCCGCTGGGCCCTAAGCAAACTAGGTCACCTTCCTGAGCCCCTTTACTCCGCCAGTGCATGTCTCTGCCTTTCTTTCTGTGGCACAGCAGTGGGGATTCATGAGTTGGATGGGTGTGGGGACAGCATTCAGGTGTGGTAGCGGACGCTCCCCAGCCCGTGGGTTCAGTCAACTCTGGGGACACAGAACACATCTCCTCAGTAAAGCAGAGAGAGAGGCCCAGAGAAGCAGAAGCTGGCTTATTTGGAATGTGAAGGGCAGGAGCTCAAAGACCCCAGGAGGGAGACCCTGGATTGTTCTACACTTCTTCCTGCTCATCCTTGGCCTGGTGCAGGTCTGCTTCAGGATCCTCATGCTAAAAGCCTGGAGCTTGTGTCCTCAAGTTTCTGAAAAGCAGACATCTGTGACACTCCTCTTGAACCCCAGGGCATGGGGAGTATGACTGAGTATGCTAGACAGCCTTAGCTCAAATCTGGCCCTGCCATGAACTAAATGGTATCTTCCAACAAGTCACTGAATGGCTGTGAACCTCAATCTCCTCACCTGGGGACAATGGGGATACTGATGGCACAACACACACAGATGAGGCTTAAAGAAGAGATGATAAAGGCCAGGGATTTAGCTCAGTGGTGCTACTGCCTGCGTCATAAGTGCAAGTTCCCGAGTTCAATCCTGGGTACCAAAAAAAAAAAGAGAGAGAGAGAAGATAAGCCAGGTGTGGTAGTAAACCCCTATGATCCCAGCACTTGGGAGGCCGAGGCAGGAGAATTGCCACAGTTCAAGACCAGCCTGGGATACATAGTGAGTTCAAGGCCAGTCTGCACTACAAAGCAAGACCCTGTCTGAAAACAAGCAGGGAGCCAGGCATGGTGGCGCACGCCTGTAATCCCAGCACTCGGCGGGAGGCTGAGGCAGGAGGATCGCTGTGAGTTCAAGACCAGCCCTGTCTACATAGTGAGTTCCAGGTCAGTCTCAACTACATAATGAGACCCTGTCTCAAAAAACACAAAAAAAAAACAAACAAGCAAGGGCTGATGAATTAGTTCAGTAGTTCAGACGTGCACCTCGCAAGCATAAGGTCCCAAGTTCAATCCCTGGTACAAAAGAAAGAAAATAAGCAAATAACAAAACAGAAGGAGAAGGAGGAAGAGAAAGAAATGAAGAAGAAGGAGAAATGTTCTCGAAGTTCTAGCACAGTACCCAGCAGAGAGTAAGGATGGCATAAATATTAGTTATATCATTACTATTTTATCAAGACACCTGGGTTCTGGTTCCAGTTCTGCCACTGCATTCATCGCTGCACCTGCCTGAGTTTCTGTCCATGAAGCAGGGTGTTGAAGGAGTAGATGAGATAACGGATATGACAGAGGCTCCTAAAGTGAGCAATTGTCTCGGTCCTTTGAGGTCTGCCTCCCTGGGGTTGCCAGGGGTCTACTGAACTCTGTCAGGCAGAGCCTGCTCTGGAAGCCAGCACATTTCCTCCCTGCTTCCCACATGGCAGAATGAGAGGAAAGGTCTGGGGTTGCCTCAGCAGGGACTGTGGTTAGACAGGAGGAAGGACTTCCTTCCTGACAGCAGGGTGCTGCTCTGGGAAGGAGCCAGAGGTCTTGAGACTGATGCTGTCGGGGGAGGGGCTCTTCCAGGGGAATGGCGGGGCCCAGCTGGTTAGGTCAGAATTGGCCATGCAGTGAATCAGCACAGCTCAGCAATGATTTACCTTCCAGGGATCCTGGAATTTAAGTCAGTTTGCCCCAGGGATCCCTAGACCACAGAGACAACAGGCAGACAAAGCCATGGCAACATGGATTCCACAGGGCAGCAAGGGTCACCAGCCAGATGTATGCTGTTCCCTCCGCCCAGGAGCTGGGAATGGCTGACCCTGTATCCTCCAAGCCTGGTTGAAGATACATCTCCTCAGAAAGGACCTCCTGTCCTGACCAATCCATGCTCTCAGTCTACAGTACTGAAACCCTACACGTCAGGCACTGTTGTAGACGGAGCAGGAGACAGTCCCTGCTCATCCCACACCAACCCTGTTCTCCAACACAACAGGCTGCTCATCTCTGACCTCTTTTTATGGGCCGTCTCTCCACCAGAGAGGACCTCAACTATTTGTTTCACTGACGTAAATCTAGCAGTTAACTCAGTGTATAAACCTGGCATAAGCTACTAAAACGGGACCTTGAACACTCTGTTGAACACAGGAATGGACAACAGAAATCAGAGGACACACAGAAAAAGGGTGTTTCTGACTTCAGAAATGCACAGAAGTTGGGCATGATGCTGCATGCCTGCAATCTTAGCACTTGGGAGACTGAGGCAGGAGTATTGCTGCGAGTTCGAGGCCGGCCTGGGCAACATAGTGAGTTCAAGGCCAGCTTGCACTACATAGTGAGACCCTGTCTCAAAAGAAAGAAAGAGAAACGCACAGAGATGTGATGAACGCAGACACACACACAGGATGATGCCAGCAAGGGCAGCTTTCCTTCCGCTGTCATTCATCTTGACCGCTGTGTCTCGGGCTGGAATCACTTTTGCTCTGAGGTTGCAGGCTGGTCCTCGATGATGACCCGATCCATCCTAGTTCCCCAACTCGGGGCAATGGGCTCCAAGCCGCAGCGGCTCAATCTCACGCTCTGCTTAGCCTTCCCCACACCAGCTAGGCCCCGCCCTAGAGGACACGCCCACCACGGCCCGGCCCCGCCCCTTGCCGGCTCTCACGGGCGCAGAGGAACCAGGTGTCTCTTACCCTTGCCCAGGAGCTGGTAGTTAATGTGCTGCCATCGGTGGAAGCTTTGAGCACACAGGATGGGGGCCCGTTCCGCCCAGCCCCTTCCTTTCTCTTTCGCCCC